CAATTTATTATATAATTAAAAAAAAAAGTTAGGAATATTAAACTCTAAAAATAACTATACTTACAAAAATTATTCAAAGAAAAAAAAAAAAAAAAAAAAAAAAAAAAATGGAGAAAATATGCCTAAATTTTCATGTATTGATCTTAGTAATAAGATCAATGTAAAAACCTGAATGTAAATCAGAGGGGCAATATATTGATTTTCTAAGCGTAACTTAGATGTGGCACAAGGCCGAAAGTATGGGGCATCTAGTGAGGATCGAACTCACTTTTCAGTTGTAACTGATCTAGCAAGACAAGCTTGCTAACCATTACACCATGCCGAGGTGCCCCAGAGGGGCAATATATGGATACAAAATTAGTTACATTAATATAATTTTTAAATAAATATTATTTACTCTACTTTGTATTGAGCACTTTTTTTTTTTAAAATAGTGTTTTTGATTACAGGAAATTTTATTCCATCGATACTAACCTTGTATTCAGATTACATATATATATATATATATATATATATATATATATATATATATATATATACACAGATATATGCATACATACATATACAGGTGGTGCCAACTATAATTATATATATATATTTATTCCAAACATGGTCAGCACATTGAGCTGCGTTCATAGTTCAATGTGCTGACTGTATATGGAAAATAAAACATAACTCTAGATACATACATAAAAAAATCCATACATTCTGTTAAAAGTATAGCAGAAAACACTCAGGCATAAAAAATATCTGGATAATTTCTACATAATTTATGCCCAGAAAAGAAGAAAATTATAAGAACACAAGAAAAATTACATAAAAAAAATTAACCACAGTACCTTGTCAGTCAATATTATATATATATATATATATATATATACACACACACACAAAAACAAACTCACCTCATATGGCTTTTATTGTATATTAATTTTTGCTAATAATATTGAGCTCTTTTTGTGGATCAGTTTTAATATTTTATACTATGAGGATACACTTGGATTATATACCAATGGATATATTACCTTTACTATAAAAGATTTATTTGGAGGAACACTTGTGACTAAAATATACATAATTTATTTATGAGAGAACAGAGAGCAAATAGATAAATAGATGCACAGAGTTGGAAAGGTCAAAATCATACATTTTATTTCCTTTCTAAATTCTGTACAATGCATAGCGCTTACAATAAAAATTGAAATATATTTATTTCTGGTCTGTGTAAGTCATGTGCATGATACATGTTCATTTTCCAAATTAACTATATTATGCCAATTTAAAAAAACGCATTTGTATAATGAGTATCTAACAGCAGCAGCTTTAATTAGAAAAGGAGATGAAACTGCTATTGTGGTCCTATACGGAGGTCCATTTAAATTATGAAATATCCCCTGCTACAGTCAAAGTGTGAAATGATCTATTGATATTGTAACCAAAGACTTTCTTTATCAGATTGAGAAATGTACATTGATATATTCTGAATTTGTTTCAGTCAAGAAGTAAAAATACCTAAATTTGAAACAAAATGACAGTTTTCTAAAGAAAAATAAACAATTTTTCTGTTGTTTAATTAATTGAATTTAAATAAAAAAAAAAAAATGGTACTACTCGTGTGAAACTTGCAAAATTTTTTCATATAAAATCCTTTTTTTCTTGACCAAAGAACTTGTGTGAAATCACCACTCAAAAATCTTAAACTGCCTTAGTAGAGAAATTTTTTTGTTTTCTGCTGTTATTATCATTCTTAATAATATTTTGATTGTTACTTAGTTAGCATGTACATTACAGTCTGCCATTGCCTCAGATAAACAAGCAGTCATTTCCCGGTTGATTGATCTTTCTTTTTTTCTAATGCTTATCAACCCTTTTTGCAGGTTATTTAAAACCAGAAAATACTTTTAGATTGTAAGAATTATTTTTCAGAAAATAATGATACAAGTCTTACTAATTAACCCATAGCTGGAGGGAGAAGAGGTGGAGTCATACCTTTCCTGATGGTATTTGCACATAAGTGAACATAACGAACCCAACTGGAATTAGTACTTGGCTCTCCAATTAACAATTCTCAGTCATTATTCATTACATCACCCACACATCTAAGATTACAGCACCTGCTATTCCCAAGCAGTCATCCATCTAGGTAATGACCAGGCTTGAAATTGCTTAACTTTGGTGATCATACAGAAACCAGTGTTTCATTGTCATATGGCTGTAAAGTCCATTCCTGTTTGATTGTGAGGAAACCATCCTGTCACAGAAGAAATGTGCTTTTTAAATTCACGACCCTTAATCCCATACTAGGAGAAGTCAAGTTCTTTTACTTTCGCTGCTGAATGGTGGGAGTGTGTGCTTGAATCTGGCATTTAACTTAATACCACAAAAACAAAGCTAATCACATTTCATCATCAGCAATTAAGCCCTGAATTTTCTCCAGGTACAATGAATATTTGCACTCAAATGGGGCTGCATTCTTTGAATTTCTATAGAATCACAAACCCATTGTAGACTAAGTGGAACTCACATATACAATCCATTGCTAAAGATGCTAGGAGAATGGTCAGTCCACAAGATTTGAAGGATGATCTTCCCTGAGACCTACAGGTTTCATTTGCTGAAAGTCATTTTTAATCAGTGATCTGAGGAAACGGTTGTATACAGCTGACAGTTTAGATCTTTCTGAACGTGTTTGGGGCCATGTATGACATTTATATGTAAGTCTTGATCTGATGAGGCGATTTAAGAACATTAAATTTTTAGGTTAATGTTTTGGTTTTGTAGCAGTTTGCATTGTTGAGCAAAACTATTTCTAACACAGCTCAATTTCCTTATTTGCTATACTAAATATGCTATACCAAATCCATATGCTGAGCTATTTTCAAGTGTTTGGGATTTATTAATTCCATATGAAGAATTTTTATGATAAATTCCTTATATATGCCATCAGTGCTTTCATTCCAATTCCTGATCATAGTTTCTGTTTTGGAAAGGTTTATCTTGAATCCTATTTCTTGGAACACTTTTGTAGAGGATGTTAATTTTTTTTGTTCAAGATTATTCTTATTTCAACTATGAATAACTATGCCATCAGCATAGAACCCGTTATCATGAGGGGATCAACCTTGAAAGGAAAAGCAGGATTGGTGTTTTCTATTAGTAGATTCATTTGCAGTATAATAGGGAATGTCTAAATGTTCAGTACCTATCTCTTCACATGTGTGCGTGTGCATATGAAAAGATTAAATAGACTGGGACTCTCATGCCCTCTTTGTGTACTCCTGAGAAGATTTGAAATGTTTCCATATTGAAATCCTCACCAGTCATGTATGATTTTGTAAACTGATAGTTTATCTATCATACATATATATATATATATATATATATATATATATATATATATATATATATATATATATATATAGATAGATAGATAGATAATTATTTTTTTTTTAAAATACGTTTCCATTGTGACATAGAATTTTCTATGTTTCAAAACAAACTTCAATCCCAAATTTAATTATAAAAATTAAACTTAGAATCCAGAGTTTCGTCCCATTGTCAAACGATACTAAGAATAACTTTCTAAGAAATTGATTTACATTATTTATAAGCAAAGACAATCTTAATATTTTGAGTTTTTAGGGTTAAGGAAAATTCAATTTATTTTAATTAGGGGTGGTTGGGTTTTAACTTTTTAAGGCAACTCATGTATCCAATGTATGGTGATTATAAAGTCGGTTAAGTTTAGGTGGGGGTTTGGGTTTTTGTTCATTGACAGAAACTTCCTTTTTCAAGCAGACTTCTCTATGCTGTCTACATTTTCAACACATCGTCTGAGTTTCAATGACAATATTTTTGATATTTTTATTGCTTTATTTAATTCTTATTTTTATAAATATACATAAAGATTTTCATAAAGAGTCATTTAAATATGATTAAGTCATATTTTTAATATTCAAATTTTTATTCCTACAGTTTTAAAGTAATATATTTATTTTATTTACTAATAAAATATATACAATATTATAAAATTAATATATTAGGATTTAATTACGTATTTATAAATTATTTTATTTATGATCAAATATAAATATGCGTGTTTCCTCATTTTTTTTAATTAATTATTATTTAAGAAAAATATTTGACAGTGCCCACAGAAAGCCGCTATTTCATTTCTTTGATTTAATAAATTTTTATTTTCTAGAAACTTAATGTATAATTTTTCATGTATGCACAAAAGACATGGGCCATTTAAAGATCTACAAGTTCTTGTTTTTTTTTTTATTAATTTCCATTTTACTGTTGGTGTTTTATTGAATTTTAAGTTTAATTTTTATAGTTAAATTTGGGATTGAAATTTCAGTTCTGAAATTTCTGCGTCATGATGGAAACATTTTTTTAAAAAAAAATATTATTATATTATGCTCTACTGTTGTATTGAGCACTGTTTGTTTTTTTTTTTAAATAAATGCTAAGAACTCTGGATTATAAATCTCACTGTTCTTTCCTATTAGTTATATATATATATATATATATATATATAGGAAGAATTAATAAAAAATAAAATTTGTCACCTAATTGATTGAAGTTATATTCAGCACCTTAACCTAGAGTTTCATAGATTAACTCTTCAGGAATAGTTGAACCCACTCTTCAGGAGGTTTCAGCAATTAACTGCCATTTTTCTCATTTTGTTTTTTCTTTATCGTAATTTTGAAGACATAATCAGTTGATATGCTACTTGGGATGCTCTAATTATTGATGTTAGGTTGTTGTTTTTTTTTTTCTCTTTTTGTGTATCTGTGTGCACTAATGTGTATGTGTTGAATGTCCTTGATATTTCTCCTTTTCATTATTTTCTTATTTCTTTAGACTCTCACTATTCCTTTCCTTTTTTTATCTTTCAGCTCTGAGTATCAAAGATAAAACATACACAAGTTTATGAAGTTCATGTGCAATCTTAAATACTTATAATTTGGAAGCTATATATATATATATATATATAATCAATCTGTAAAAAATATTTACAGGCTTGGTATTTCTCAGTTTTACTTTATAAAAAAAAAAAAAAAAAAAAGGCAATAGTCCTTTATATCTATTATCATTTTCTTAAAAGTTCAAAATGACTGTTTTTCAGAATTGTTATTGACCGATGACTTAACCAGAAGAGGAAGTAAAGTGTGTTCTTTGGTTGGCTGAGCTAAAATCTGTCATCCAAAGAAAGTTTAGAACCGATTAAAATCAAGAAGCACCATACAAGAATTCCAGATCCAAGGAAATGCAAAAGTTTAAAGAAATAGGTTCTGTAAATAATAAGCCACAGTCCATCGACTAAATTCAAAATTATTGTTACTGATACTCCTAAATGGTTACCCATTTAAGTGCTGACTAGTTTCAGGATAGAAAAGATTTATATTTACACCTGAAGATGTTCCCATGAAGGGGTATGGCTGCAAAGCAGTAGATGATGTAAATCAGAATTTTCCTTCTCTTCATCATCATCCGTCAAGCTCCTTATTGTTGGTCGGAACTCCATTGACAATGCCTTTCCACACTGTTCAGTCCTGTATTGCTGTCCCAATGCCCAACCCTAAGTCCCGAGCTATGGTGTCTGGGAAAATCAATTTTAATAAGACACTTCCAGAAGAATGCCATAGGAGTAAGGATGAGATGATTTCCCTGTCCACTCAGTGGCAGTGGTCAGCAAACTGTAGCTGTTTTTATTTGAGCTTAAGAGAAATTGTTCCAAGTTCTCCATAGATTGTGTTAAGTGTTGCACTGGATTTCCAACTAATGTTCTGGATTTTTCTTACTAGGTTTGTATATGCTCCATCCAGTTGTCTTTCAAGATGAACAGATAATGTCCAAGTTTCTGATCCATACAGTAAGACAGGTTCAATCAATGTTCGAAAGGTTTGGACTTTTGTGAAGGATGGAAGGTTTAAGCATCAAATCTTGTCAAGTTTGTTACACGCATCACATACAAGAGCTTTGCGGATATTGAAATCTTTTTGGGAATCTATGACGTGAGATCAAAGATATTTGAAGTCCTCAACTCTTGATGGATGTATTATTGAGTGACTTCAACTCGGATGGTTATGGGGAGGTTGTGATATATTCTGTCTTACATTGCAATAGAGACCTGGTTTGCTGCTTGCTCAAGTGATTGCAGCAAGATTCTGCATTCTTGATATATTAAGAAATTAATGCAAGATCATCGGTAAAGTCAAGCTCAGTCAGGTATTGTGGAGGGTACTGACTTCGTTGGCAAGGTTTCAAAAGGAGTCCTTTTTCCTCCATGTTGTCAAGAGAAATATACAGATCATAGTCCAGAACAACTAGAAAAGGAGTAAGTGTGTCACCTTGTAGAACTTCTGCTTTAACTTCAAAAGAATCAGGTTTTGCCATCAGACGATACAATGGTGGCAGTGGTGTTTCTGTACAGATCTCTAATTGCTTCAACAACTCTAGAGGGTATACCACAGAGTTGAAGGATTTTGAACATGGGATTTCTGCTGATTGCAAAAGTCAACAAAACAGATTTTGATTTTCTTTGTTGAATTTTTTCATCTCTTTCAGTATGCAGCGAATGGAGATGATTTGAGCAGTTACCAACCTGCCTCTTCTAATTCCATTCTGGTTCTTGCAGAGGAGTGGATCAATGGTAGGGACAATCCTATTTAGCAGAAGCTTATTGTAAACCTTTGCTGCAATTGGTATGAGAGTTATACCTCTATAGTTTACTGCATTTGTTAGATCACTCTTTTTTGGAACATGGACTATTCCACCCTTCAGCCAAGCTGAAGGCAGTGAATGGTGTATGAAGGGGGTTGCAAAACTCTATGAGGAGGTCATGAAATGTTAGATCTTTCCACAATAATGTTGGTATGTTATCAAGACCTAGAGATTTGTTGTTGGCAAAATCTTTGAGTGTTGTTTTAAGTTCATTGAACATGAATAGGTTGGTGTTTATGTCCAGTGTATTAGATATTTGAGGTAGAGGGAATGAGAGACCACTGACTTGCAGTGATTCTCCCAGGAGTTTCTTAAAGTGGTCAAACCAGTTAGCTTTACACTTTTCAGTAGAACTGCCTTTGAGCTGAATAGAAAACTTTGATTTTCTTTCCAAGAGTGTTTTTATTGTTTTACAGTCTACAGCATGTTGTTTCTCCATATACATTCTTACAATCTTGTCAATCTCCTCTTGAAGGTACT